CTTTACTTTTGCTTTGTTGTATAGGCTAACAGAATGAGTTGTATCAGGAGAAATCCTGTGAGAATGGGGTTTAACTTTTCTCCAGTTGTATTTCTGTTAACCACTCACTATTTGTTGGTTTTTACTAAGACAACAAAGTCGCCATAAAGCCATGTTTGTGCCTTTCTACACAAGAGGCACACTAAAGGTGCAACATTTCCTGCCCTTAACCGTCTGTGTAACAGAAGCTTCAGGAGCACTTACACACTGGCGTGGGGTTTCCTCTTGGAGAAGTCGCAAGCCAGGCCGAGGTCGGAGATACGAACATGACCGTGTTCATCCAGTAGAATATTGGCTGGCTGGAGAGGACACACAGACACATAGTCAGATCTCTGGGACAGGAAAAAATGTTTGAGACCTCACTAAGTCACAATCTAAGTTACAATTTCCGCTCAGCAGGAGAAAACTTCTGTGTGGATACATGTAATAAAAGAAAGCCCCCCTGTCCTGGCTATCCTCTGCTGTTTGGCAAAACTGTGACTCACTCACTCTCTGTCCCCTTCCAACACTCAGCCTCAGAGTATTATCTGCATTGTTCTGCACTGTTTATTAAAGACCTAAAACTGTTCCCTGACTTCCAGCAAAATATATCTATTATTATGGCAACCAGTCCAAACAGGGGTCTTGGAGGAAAAACAGAGGACAGTTGAAAACATGGCTGAAGTGAAGCTAGGGCTTTGAAACAGTACGTGCGGGGGTGTCGAGGTGGATCAGTGGACTGTGACATTCAGGGTCACTTGTCATTCCTCTCTCTGTCCTGATTTATAACATTCTCTGTTAAACAACACAAATATGACATAGCATCTCTTCTTAGCAGGGCTGCAACTAGTGATCTTTTCTATCAGTTTTTGGGGTAACTGATTTTTGGGAAAATATTGCAGATGTAAATGTTGAAACAGGAGCTCATTGTAGTTTTTTGCCAACTGAAACGATCAGTTGACTTAAGAATTGGCCAATATCATCAATGGTTTACGTTTAAAGAGGTATTGTGTGCATGCGTCTGTGTGTATGTTAGTGTCAACAGCGAGGGAGAGTGAGAGAGAAAACATGAGCAAGAAGAGGAGTCAGGAGGAACATGAATAAATTGGACATACATATACATATATATATTTTTTGAAGAGTTTAATTAATTCTTGAGGATGTAGGACCATTAAAATAGCAAAATAAAATGTCGAATCACCCTCCAAAAACCCCCCAAAATATAACAACAATCAAAGATGGACTCAGCTAATTGCTGATATAGTCATGCATCTAGACTCTTGTCCCTGTGGTGGAAACAGTTAGTGAGTTACTATAAAATGTCGTAACTCTAATTGCATTAAAAATACAGCTCTAAAGAAGAGAATGTAATCAGAGTGAGAGGTCTACCTTCAGGTCTCTGTAGACAACAAATCGGTTGTGCATGTGTTCCAGACCCAGGATGATTTCAGCCGCGTAGAATCGCATCTCTTTCTCACTGAACACGCCATGCTGAGACAGGTGGTAGTGCAGGTCACCCCCTGAAGACACACACACACACACACACACACACACACACACACACACACACACACACGGGGGTGCGTTAGCATGACCTCATAACAACTCATGTCCCAATCGATGTCTGTCAATAAGTTGTGGTAATCTTCTCAGGGGAGAAGATGAGAATCAATCAGAAGCCTTCTATAGCTCTTTCCTCCAACCCAATGGTCTGAGCCTTAACATGTATCGACTCACTGTATTCATAGCACAACTGCACACTGTATGATGATGTCTGTGTTCAGCGTTGACTTTAAAATGTGACTCAGGCTTTGATTGTGAGATTGTCTGGGAACACTGAGTGGAAAAGAGTAACAATGAGGTGGTACTTAAAGGGAGGCCGATATTAGATGTTACGAAGGATAACACAAGCAGGTCGCTGTGGTGTGCAGCATCATCACTGAGGTCAAAATCTTGATTCTTGAGGGGAGGAATGTCCTAACTGGCCAGCATCAGGATGAGTAATCCAATCTTTCCTCTTTTTTTGGGGGCAGACAGGAAATAGGGGGGAAAGAGAGACAGGGAATGACATGCAGTTAAAGGACTCAGGCATCTGTGCCTGTGTAGTTTGAGCCCTTTCAGGTCATCAGGTGATTAAAACTTATTCTCAGAACAGACAAAGTAGGGCAGTTTAATGAAAGACGCGTGTGTGTGTGTGTGTGTGTGTGTGTGTGT